AGGGGTGATGGGTATCTCTGGATATCCCACAGAAGGGGAGGTCAGTGAGACCAAGTGGGGGTGTCTCCATTCATTGAGGGGTTCTTTTTCTTGGAGGGGGACTGAGAAAGGAGGAAACTGAGGCTCACCTGGAGGAACTGGGGCTGCAGGGCTGGCTCTCTCCCGGCAGCAACAGCAGCAGCTATAGAGCCCTAGAGTCCCCCTCGCTCACCTCTTCCCTTCACACAGACTCTGAGATTGGGCAGAAGAAGGAAGGGCCTGTTTCCAGCCCGAGCTGGATGAGGAGCCGCGGTGATGGAAGAGAGCAGAGGATGAACTGGAGGTGAAGAGGAGGGCAGAGCAGATTGTAGTGGTCCAGTGCAAGAAGGATGGGAGTGGGGGGTGGGGGATAAAACTACAACTCCCAGAAGGCGCCGCGCCTAACATACCTCCGCTACCCCATATCTCCTCGGTCCAAGCCTCCCACCCTCTCGCCCCCCAAGGCGAACGAATGCCGCGCATGCGTGCAGCCTGAACTCCAAGTGGAAGTCGGTTTGAAAGAAAGGGCGGGCGACGCGCCGCCCTGGCTGTGACTGGGCTGCGAGAGCCGAGGCGAGGGGCGATCGCGGGGACTATGGGTCGCTCCCGTCCTGGACTCGTGGATGCACCGAGCATCGGGCCGGGGTCACGGAAGTGGGTCCCGTTTGTGTAGTCCCTTGGCTGAGGGACTGGGAGCGACCGGGCAAGGACCGCCGCCGGAGGCCTCAGCTCGCCGGGTTCCTGGGGGCGGGGCGCCTGAAGCCCCCTGGGGGCCCCGGGGGGAGGAGGATGGGGCGCGCCCGAGAGACACTGCCGCGGGTGGGGGTGGGGCAGCACCATCCACAGGTGGCAGAACCGCGGGGAAAGAAAGGATGCGTGGAGCCTGGAGGGGGTGTGCTCCGAGGAGCGGGGTGGGGGGGTGGGAGGGTGGGGGGTGCACCCCGGGGGGCAGGGGGGTGAGGGTGCTCTTGCTGGGAACTTTGCTTCCCTTGAGTCCGGCTGGAGCTTGGAGGGGTTTCTGAGAATAAAGAAGGGCTTAAGTAAGTGAGATTAGAGAGGGAGACTCCTGACTTACTAGTTCGTCCAAAAACTGTGGACATACAGAAGCTTAATAAGTGAAAGAAATATATTTAACAAGTTTTGCGCCAGGATTTCATACCAGGAAGAGAGGAGATTGGTTATCCAAGGCCCTGAAAAGGAGGGGAAAGTGGAAGGGTAGCAATTGTGAGTCTTGAGCATGGTCTTGAGTTAAGGAAAAAACTGGGAAGGACAAATTAGTATTGTCCAAATAGAGGATTCTGTTTATCCGTGTTGTTTAATACTCATCTTTCCTTGTTGTCAGAGTTAATGGAAATTTCTCTAGAAATTGAAATCAATATTGATGGTTATCGACTAAAGTAATAATAGCGAGCGTCTCCACCTATTTGCACTTTCTGAAAAGAGTAACTCCATCAAAAATAATTTTCTGAAACCAAACTATGAAGGAATACCTGAAACCCTGTTTTTATTTCATTCCTTGGGCATTTGCGTATCGTAGGGTAGTCTATTCATTAACTACTAAAGTTGAATTGTTTTAGGTAAGTTCTTTGATGTTTGGTGAGCTCTCTGCCTAGTTCAGACCCTCCAGAAAACATCATTTGATGATGCTTCTCAATTGCAACCCTGAGGGGCAGCTAGGTGGCGCAGTGGATACAGCACTGGCCCTGAAGTCAGGAGGACCTGAGTTCAAATATGGCCTCAGACCAAACACTTGACACTTACTAGCTGTGTGACCCTGGGCAAGTCACTTAACGCCAATTGCACTTTAAAAAAAAGGAAAAAGAAAGAAACGAATCAATTGCAACCCTGGGAATATGGAAGCAGCATTTTGAGAAACAAGGAAATTCAAGTTTGTGTGTCAGTAGGAGAATATGCTGAGAATCAGAAAGTCAGGTAACTTATAATGTAGCTTACCTCTTCCTCCTACATCTCTGTGTTTGTAGAAGAAGACACAGAAAAACTGAAGGAAGATTAGTTTACATCCATCCTATCCTTTCCTTGGTCCCTGCCACGTTAGTTGCAATCATTAGTTGTCAATCATATTCATAATCTTTGTGTTAAGGCAGCTACATTTTGCTTTTTCCCATGTTATCCAGTTATAGAACTTGGGACATTTTTAATAAAAAGTAAATGAGAGAGGCAGCTAGGTGGCACAATGGATAGAGCTTTGGCCTTGGAATCAGAAGGACCTGAGTTCAAATCCGGCCTTAGACAGGTAACACTCACTAGTTGTGTGACCCTGGGCAAGTCACTTAACCCCAATTACCCTCACAAAAAAAAAATAAAAAAAATTAAAAGTAAATGACTATTAATATAGTTTCATATAAAATTAGGTTTATAAGAAACATTTTAGCTGATAAGTGATTAATACAGGGAAATAAAATTTTAATTTTACAACACTACAAGTGCATGTAAATGCTAAAAATTAAATTCCTTTGCATTTTGTACAGCACATTTGTTAATTATTACTATGTTATAAATAGAATAAGAATAACAAACTCTAAGATGATAACTTCATTTTTTTTTCTGAGGTACCTCAAAGCGCTGTTAGTTCTGTAAGGTTGATAGGGATCATCTCTTCATTTTAGTAGTGGAAAAGAGTTAAATGAGTTTATTTCTGAAATACTGAAACTTACTTGAAGGGAACATCAACATTAGGCAACATCAACATTAACTTGAGCACTGAAAAAAGTTGGAGCGATTCACATCGATGTTAAAAGGATACCTACGAAAGATAAAAGAAATAGTCTCATTGCTAGTGCCTTCTGAGATTACCTTACATCCGTTCTGTATATGTTTTGTATGTAGACAATCGTTTTCATGTTGTCTCCTAATGTGAGCTCCTTGAAGGCTAAGACCATATCTTTTAATCACCAGTCCCTGGCACATAGTGAGAGCTTAACAAATGTTTGTTTACTGACTGATAACTAGAAAGAAACAAGATCATTTAAAAAATTATTATTCATGGCTAGTTAGTTTTATGGAAGGGGCAACTATTTAATGGTATGGTTTCCACAAATATGTAGCATATGTTTTATAATTCTTTAGGTTAAAAAAAAACAACAGATTGTGCTATGTATGCACATTAAAGAAATTTTAAACAATGGCAATTGGTCATCATGAAGAAAACCACTAGCATAAGGGATAACGTAACAATGCTTCTCTTTCTGTACCTGACTTGGTTCAACTCTCTGCAGAGTAATGACAGTCTTGATCCTGGCATTCTCTCTCCTTAGTCCTTTCCTTTTAAGTGTCCACTAATAAAATCTAGGGAAATGGAAACTTTAAACTATTTTTATAGCTTCTTCTATAACGCTGGGGTTGGTCAATATTGAAAGGAGACCTGGATTCCACACCCTGGTTGGTCTTTAACAAATTGTGTGATCCTGGACAAGCTTTTTTACCTCAGTATCATACTCTAAAAATGAAGGTGAATATATATGTTGAAGCCTAGCAATTTATAAAAATTAAAAGACTTTCAAAATAGACTTCAACTGCTATGAAAATCTATGAGAGAAAGATTTTAGAAACTTTCATACCACCAATTCAATTTTTTTTCCCAGGTAAAAACTGATTTCATGCCAGTGTAGGGAACTACATTTACCTGTGCAGATAGATCAGCAACTGTGACTTCTAATGTTAGAGTTGCCTGAGGCAGGAAGGTTAAGTGACTTGCTTAAGTCACACAGCAAGTATGTTACCCCAGATTATTTGAAATCAGGTTTTTATGATTGTTTCCTCCCCCACCCTCATTTAAATGTCTTCCTTTCCCCCTTTTCCCTTCTCAGTTCCATTTTTATTCTCTAGAGGAATGTTTAAAGGTTAAAAAATATTGCTGGAAGGGAATGCTTTCTGTTGTGATGTCATAGAATGTATCACTATGAAAACACAACAGAGCATCAACTTGTATTTTGTAGGACCTTTAAAAAGTGAGTACTGTCTGGTACTCTCCTTTTATGTGTTGAATCAAATTAATGCTATTTTTCAACATACATTAATAAAGACTTTAAACCTTTTAGACTGAGAGTAGTACTATAACAGATAGATATCTAATTCTGGTCATATTGTATTCAGGTGTAAGGTTTGACCCTTTGGCCAGAATACTGATGCCATAGGACAGATAGACCAGAAACCTTGGCCCAATTCTCTGATCTTTTGTTGCTATACTGGTTATAAGAAACCACTGTCACCTGTGTAGTGTATAAAAAAGTAGCAGATATATGGGAGACTTTCCTCACGCCATCTGCCTTGGACTTCCATTTTTGGTTCTTGTTAGTTCAACCCACTTTCTACCTCCCTGGTCCTCCCTGCTTTCACCATAATTCTTCTTAACTGGCCTTTTCTCCATCCTTGCCTGATGAATATTGAGATCTACAGCATAACACTGGAGGGTGGCTAGGTTTTAATATACTATATGAAGATAACTAAAGATTCAAGTTCTAATAATTTAATAAAGTATCATAAATATATCAAAACTGTGTTTATCATTGATCATTAAATATGCCTATGTTCTTGGTTCCCTTTCTAAAATGTTAATTGTTATCCCTACCAATAAAGTTAACAAACATTTATTGAGTAGCTACTATATGGGGTATCCTAAAAGTCTTTTAGGACATTCTATAATAAGACTTGAGAGAGTAAGGACAACAGTTTCATCCTTAAAGGCACCATCCTTGGGGTCTATGAACTTATCTTTTTACTATGTTGATAACTGTATTTCAATAATAATTTCCTTTGTATTTTATTTTATCCATTTAAAAACATTCTGAGAATAGGTTCATTGGCTTCACCAGAATGCCAGAAGGGTCAGTGACACAAAAAAAGATTAAGATTAAGGAATAATAACATATTTTTAGCTTATATTAGTGTAGCTACATGTATTATTTGAACTCAAATCTCATGTACCTTTTTTTGTGTGTTTACTGTTTTTGTTTTAAAGATGAATGGAAATAAGAGCCCATTTTGAGAAAACCATGGCAAAACCAATGAAAAAATGCAGTGTTTATTCTCCTATATCTACAGTATCTTCTCTTCTAGCAAGTTGCAGCTTGAACAGCAGTAATTCCTCTAACTCTGGTGACTCTATAAAATATAAAGACAAGCTTTACACCTCTGCTTCTCAGGCATTACAGGCCTACATTGATGATTTTGAGCTAAATTGTATATCTCATGATAAAAGTATTAGCAAGTTTAACCTTGGTCCGAATTCCAAGTTCTCCAGATTTCTTTCTAAACCCCCAAATGGTATGCTTTCATTATACTTTGCTATGTGTTTAACTATGTATAATAATTTTATGCATTGCACTTTTAGAAGATTAGTTTTTGTGGGGAGGCTAGATAAGAATTATTTTACAAAACCTGATCTTGCATAAAATCATTATGTAATTTTTTGGTTCCCAAGCTCTTTCAGTTGTAGATTCTTTTTGAGCACATTGTACTCTGATTCTAATAACTTTTTGAGTTTTGACATTTCTATGATCCTTTTCATTGATACTAGAAAGAGGAAGCTATAGGATAAAATACATTGGGTAATTTAAGGGAGTGAGTCATATTTGATTACCTTCCTGCTGTGTACAGGAAGGAATTCTGAACTAGAAATAGATTTTGTTGTTGACCTGGTCACTAATAGCAACCTTGAACAAGTCATTTAACCTACCTTCTTTGCTCCTGATTTCCTCATCTATTAAAACATAATTTGGATTGCATGATCTCTCATTCCTTTCTAATTCAATAGTTCTTTGATTCTGTGCTTTTTTTCCCTCATCCCACACCAGTTTTGTTAAGATAAAAATTAAGTGTTCAATTAATCCAGGATAGTTTTGCTGTTATTAAAATTATATTGCTCTCCCAAATCCTTGGCCTGATCCATCAGTCTTTTCCAGAAAAATCAAAGGTACTTTTCTTCATTTGACATAGACAGGGGACTGGAAGAGGGCATTTAAAGACTGGGAGGCTTTAAAGCAGAGAGTGAAAGAAAAAGGCCTGGTAAAATAACCAGAAACAGAAAAAACCTAGGGAAGAGAAAAAGAGAATAGAGAATAACTGGAATAAGCAAAACAAGGAAACATACTAGGCAAGAGAATGACAGTGAGAAAAACAAAGAGGTGAGATGTCATTGTGAAACATAGATAACTTTATTTTTACTTGTAAAGTGTTTTGGGGGAGGAGAGAAGGGGAAAAAAAAACCAAGGTAGTTTTTTTTTAATCATAACTACTTTTGTAATTATATTTACATATGAAACATAAAGATAAGCACAAATATGCAATATGGTTTTTTTTTAGGTTTTCAAGACTTCGACTACAAAAGATCAAAATCATCTTGTAAAAACCAGATGATTAGTGACATAGACTCTATTAGCCTAACAACTGATGATCTAGTACATTTTCCACCAGATGGATCACTGCCTATTGATACTTATATTGGATCACTACATCAAAATAGCAAACAGGACAGAAAACTTCCTAAAAAAACTTCATCAGAAAATGAAAGGAATCCTAGTTTTCCAGATCCTTGCAATCCTGTGGGAAATAAGGACTTGTTTACTCCTATTCTATTCTCAGATACCAATGAAAAACATTGTGGTGTGATAAAAAATACTTCAAATAAACATTGCAAATATGTTTCTGCATCATCAGAATATTCTTCAGGGATGCCTTCTCCCAAAGAAAATTCAAAGCATCATACTAGAAAAAATTACCCAAGATGGCTTACTAGCCAGAAGTCTGACCTTAATGTGTCAGGGATAACTAGTATTCCTGATTACAGTTATCCACTTTGGCTACACGATCAAGATCTGTTACCTGATTCCTCAAGTCAAAGTAGTTCTCAGATGCAAAAAAAAGAACAACACAATTATATGGAGAAAAGGAAAACTCAGTTTTCTCCTGAATTGGATTGTTACGAACGTTCACACTGTAGCATTTCAGACTCCAGGAGTGACAAAGTATTAGTTAATTGTAAACACAGTTGTGAACTTGGTCAGTTTCAGTATGAGAGTATGCCTTTCTCAGAGCAATCCAAAAAGCCATTCAGTGGTAACTCTTCTTTTCTTTTACAATTTTGCTATTAAAACTGAGAAACAAGCTAATAACATGTAGGGACTTTTATGTTTAACCCTTTATGGAATTCAGTTTACATATTCTTTTGAATGCATTTTTTCATTTTTGTTTCTCTAAAATGTCATTTTAACATTACTTGTTTTTAAAAAAGTTATTACTGCTTATACACATTTCAAATTGTGTGAATCTGTGATCTGAGTCATATTTTATCTTTCTGAAGTAACAATATTGTATTTTTACTTTTCTTAAATATCTAATTTTATTTTTCAAAAAAAATAGATGACAAAATTGAATTGCTTATCCTGAAGGCCAAGAGAACTCTAGAGCATTCCTCTGAAGGATTATCAAGTACCATGAAAAATGATGTCAGTCCCTGTTCGCTAGATAAACTAGAAGCAGAAAGATCATGGGAAAATACTTCAGTTACTTTGTGAGTAAGCAATAATGATTATTGGAATGTGTTGTTGAGATGGGAAAAAATAGAAATTAATCCACCAGTCTTCATTAAGCACTTACCATGTGCCAGGCCCTGGGGAGACACGCAGAAAGACTGAATACTGTCTATATTCACAATACCCTTCTAATATACAGCATAAATATAAAATTAGTAAATACTTATAACATATAAAATAGTTAAATACAAGTTAGTTTGAGAGGGAGAGCACTAACAGTCAAGGAATCAGTAAAGCCTTCATCCAGAGGATAAGGCCTAGATTCCATCTTAAAGGAAAAGATGGCCTCTATGAGGTGGAAGAAACGAGTGCATTCCAGGCATGGGGCATGGTATCTTGGTGCAAATGCATGGAAACTGAGAAATGGAATATGTTGTTGAACTAGAGAAAAAGCCATTTTGGCTGGATATCAGAGAGGGAGTAAGGTTGGAAAAATACAGTGGAACAAGGTTGTGATGGGTTTTAAAAGCTAAAGAGGAATTTATATTTTATCATAGAGGCATTAAGTTACTGGAACGAATAGAGAAGTCATGTGGTCAGATTTGGACTTAAGGAAATTTGCCTTGGGAACGGTTTTTCAGATAAAAGAACTTTATGCAGAATGACCCAGAAGTCTGACTAAGATTTTAGGATGCCCTGTATATAAACACAAAAGTGATAATTGTATACCTTTAGCACTAAGTCTTCTATATTTTAAATTGTGATTCTTATTTGTACCACAAGATGATGTAATGTCTTATAACTCCATATAACATATAATTTCTACTTTTTTCACCTCTTCATTCCAGAAGGTGCAAAAATAAGCTCATTCTCTCTTATTTTGAAGGAGTAGTCAAAGACTTTATTTTATAGATGCCTTTATCTGACATTTCATGTATTATCAGGGGTATGAAGAGATTACAGTGGGTATAAAGAATAATAGGACATATTAATAACTATTAATTAATAATTTTGGAGGAAAGAGGCCCACTTTGTAAAGGCCAAGCATGATGACTTCAATAAAAGAAACTTTAAGTGGAGAAACAGTCATAAATACAGAAAGAGCCCTTCTAGCTCTGATCTGTGATTCTATAACCTTTTCCTTCTTTATTTCCTTTGTTGTGGACTTAGAACTTATATTATACAACTCTGTTATATATTCTCCTATTCTCCATAAGGTATAAATAATAAGAATGAAGGAAATAGAGAAGGAAGAAACCATTGTTAATCTGAATAGGAAAGGATGTTGTATGTGCATTTGCTTTTCTCAACGGGGCTGCTGACTCTCACTTAGTTCTACACTGTGTTTATCTTCTCCAAATAGAACAGGTTCTTAACCTATTTTGTGTCATGGACCTTTGTATCAATCTGATAAAGCATATAGGCTCCTCAGGATAATGTTTTTAGATATATAAAATAAAATATATAGGATTACAAAGGTAATCAATTATATTGAAATACAGTTATCAAAATAATTTTTAAAAATAAGTTCATGGATCCTAGGTTAAGAACACCTAAAACAGAATGTAATTGCCTTTTGGTTAGTATCTATTTTTTGTGCATCTATGTGCAAGAACTGTGCTAGGTGCTGTGTAGGATGTAAATTTGTTGCCGTCAAGGATTTTACAATTTAAACGGAAACATTACACATAAAAAGAAAACGAATAAGTAGTATGGATAATAAATGATGTGAGAATGCATGGAAGGGAGATTATTATTGGTTGGGATAAGGGAAAGCTTTATAAAGGTGAGATTTGAACTAGGCCTTGAAGGAGGGAGGTGGGCATTCTGGAAAGTGGGAACAGTGTAGTCAAATATTGGAGGGGGAAAGTTCAAGAACTGTTTCCAGGGAAAGAGAAGGAATAGAAAGTAGGCCAATCCCTCTGGCAGTAGGGTTAATTCATAGCCTAGTATAGTTCTAAGTATTTAGTAGTTACTCCATAAATACCAGTTTGATTTTAAAAATAAAGAAAGGCTAAAGAAGTATGGAATGATTGTCTTGAAAACAGGGTATGAGGGAATGATTAGTAATTGAAGTATGTGAAAACAGGAGGTTGAATTCAGTCACCTTTTAAAGTCCCTGTTGGCTTTGAAATTTTATGAAAAGGACAGCTTTCATGTGAAACAAGGACATTTGCCTGGGATTGTCAGGTACTCTGGGAAAATATATTTGGGAAATTAACCTGTTGGGCTGTAAGATATGAATACACTTTGGGGGCTGGTACAGGGAAAGGTCTGTTTGTGTCTAACAGATTTGGTATTAATATCTAAAATTAAACTATATTGCCTACCAGTATAATGTAAAAAAATATTGAATTACCAGATTTTAGATGTTTGTTTTCAGAGACTCCTTCTACAGATTCTAGATGCCTTTTAGAATTTTGACTTAAATTCTTTTGTGTTTCTTCTCCCATTTTTGTTTACATGAACAATGTGACACTAAAATGATGAAATTGTTTTTATATGTGACATAGAAATCATAGGATTATAGTTTTAGAATTTAGATGAGGCCTTAGATACCACAGAGTTTAACTCTTTTATTTTAAAGATGTGGAAATTGAGGAATGTAGAGGTTAAGCCAACTTCTCAGCTTCAGTTTCTACATCCATAAAATGAAGATAATAATAGCACCTAGTTCCCAGGATTCTTGTGAGGATTAAATGAGATAGCTTAGTTAAAGCTGTATGCAGAATCTTAATTGCTACATATATATACATATATATAATATTATAACATTATATATTATGTGTTTTATACGTATATATGCATATGCTAGTTATTATTATTATCACTGACTTGCCCAGGGCCACATAGCCAGTAAGTTGTCCAGATCTTCCAGAATCCAAGTTGCCTTAGACCAAATCAATATATTTGCTTTATGTTTATACCTTGAGAATTTGAAAGCCATAAGGTTTTTTTAAAATATATGAAAGAAGCACATCGTTCTTCTTTCCCTTATGATTTTCCAACCCCATTCCATATTCACTGAGCTTTTGAAAGCATCTTCAGTAACATGTACTTATCAATTCAAACTTCACTCTTTTGGATTTTTTTGATAGGTGAACAGAGGCAAACAAGGTTACTTTGCTTAAAGCAGCTCCATCTTCATATTGCATGCTAATTGTGCAAAGTCGATTTCTGAAGTACTGTTCAAAAGATCATTAGATATATCCATTTACCCAGTTAGAATGTCCACAAAGATTTGTCAACTTAATTTAAACTGCTGTCTGTCTTTAGAAATAATAAAACTGTGTTTCTTCTTAAAATGGCCTTTCCTAATTTATATTTTTTCAGTATTTTATATCATTGTTTCTAGTTTGAAATTAGTAAGGCTTTACCATAATTTGTGGCTACTATAATTATACTCCTAGATGGTAGGATTACTTGTTTACCCTGTATTTCTATCTAGTAAATCACCTGTGCCTGTGGATTGTGGTGAAAGACCTCAACAAGTCATAAAAGTGAAACGTGTTCATGAGTTCCTTGAGGATTGTTTAAATAAGGATAATCCTGTAAGTAAAGCTGAATTTTTATTAACTTGAAAGGGGTTTGTGACAATATTAGTTTTTTTGTTTGGGATGAGTTTCCCTTGAGTCACAATTAAGTTATTTTAAAAGTGAGCAGAACTTATCCCAACTTAATTAATAGGATTCTTTAAGATACTATAAAATGTGTAAGAACTGTGATTATAACTCTACTAACAGACTCATTGTTTTGCTGAATTCCTGGAAATAGTGTTCGATAGTTAATCTTAGTAAAGTGAATTTTATTTTCTTATTGTCACAGTGTTATCGTTAGGATATTATGTTTCTGACCAAGGATTTGGCATCATATTAATCATAGATGCTGCTGACATATTTTTTAAAGCTTTATAATAATTTCAAATCATAAATTGTGCACCAATCCTATGAAGTGGTTATAAACATTGTACACAGTTATTACATGAGAAACCAAGTATACAACAAAAATTATAGATAGAACATGAAAATTCAGCTTTGATCAATGTGACAATGAAACTACTATTCTAGCCATTGCAAATATACATTGAAGTCACATTTCTTGACACATTATGATTAATATTTAAATTAAAAATGACTATTTAGAGATTTGTGTCTCAAAACTGTTTAAGGAGGTTTTGTATCGATTCCCTCCTCTTGATAGTTTCCACAGAAATCATTAAAAATCTTTCCATTAACCTTAGTAGAATTATGCTCAAAGTGCAATAATATGTGCATAATAAATGTTTGTTGATGATGTTTTTCCCAGCCCAAAAATTTTTTGTAAAGATAAGGAATGACTCAGTGTTTCTTTTCCTTAATTTGTGTACCTCCTCAATTTATTAAAAGCTAAAAGGACAGTTATTTAGCATCTACCTAAATTCTGAGTACCAGAGGAAAAGGGTTGTTAAGTCATTCTTGCTTTTTTCATTTCTACTGGCCTGTTCCACACTTTGTTGACAGAGCTAGCTATTTAGAGCACTTAACACTTCCATTGGAAATTAGAAAATGATGACTTGATCATTATCACAGACTTTTAAAAGGAATTTAAAAGACATTGGATTGCAGAGGCAATCCTGTTTTGTAGCTGTCTGGTTTCTGCAGTTAGTGAAGGCAGTGAGAATCAGGGAATGAGTATTATTAGGCGGCATTGAGGATGAATTTTAAAATACTGTTAACACAAGTCTTATCCAGAAATATTGATATAATAGACCACTTGAAAGTCAGACAACCCATGTCCTAGTCTTGACTGCCACTAACTTACTAGGTGTGTGACCTTGAACAAAGTCTTTGAACTTCAATTTCCTCATCTCTAAGATGGGAATAAAAATATTTTGCCTACCTACCTCATGGGGCGGTTGTGACAATCAGGTAATACGCACTTTTATGAGAGCAAAGAATTATTTTAGTATATGTTGTTATTGTTAGTGATAATAAATAATGATAAAATAGGGAAGTTGGATGAGGTGATTTTTGCAGTCCTGATCCAGCTCTAAAATTCTATGATAAAAATAGTAGGTGAATTTTTTTAATTAATGCTATATGACTTTGGAAGGTCAAGCAAATGTTTTGGTTTTAGAGAAGCACGCTGTCTGGAGGTAAACATCATGGTCCAGTTGAAGCTCTGAAACAAATGTTGTTTAACCTTCAAGCAGTGCAAGAAAGTTTTAATCGGTATACATATGCTGAGCAAGATGAAGAGATTAAACAAGTAAGCAAATATTTGACTTATTTTTTTAAGATCTATGAACTTGTTTAAAAAAGTCTTCCCTTAGTTTTTATTCCTATATCCAGTAAATTCAACTTAAAAAACATTTATTAAGCACCTGCTCTGTTTAGAGCAGTGTGTCAGTTGTTAGAAAAAATAAACTTCATTGAGCTTATATTTTTATTAGGGAAATATGATCATAAGGAAATAAATGTAATGAAATAATATGAAAAGTGAAAAGTAACCTAGTTTTAAGTTTATTTTACTATGCTTTTTTTTAAATGGAAACGTATAACAAAAATTTTATAAAATTGTGGTATATTTGCTTTAGATTTTAACTTGTTGATATTTAAATCAATATTTATACTGTTGGTATAAATAGAAGGTACCCCAAAAAATAGACTGCAAATGTTCAGGATCTATTGCCGGAGCTACAGATTGTGGCTATGTAAGACCCAACCTGTCATCTATATCTTGAAAGAGCCTAACATCTGGAAAGGTGGGTGAAATTGCTTGACTGTTATGATGATCATGTGAGGGATATGGTTGACTCTTTATTTACATAGGATTTTTGATAGTTTGGGACACAGTCAGATTTATGATATTAAGTCTGATCAGCCATAGTTGGTACCTGAGCCAAGGACTGTATTAAGATGTCCAAGAGATTGCTGCAGCCATTTCCTACTAGCCTGCCACCTCTTCATCTTCATAGAATTTCAGAATTAAAAAGAATCTAAGAAGTCATCTAGCTCAGTCCATATTTGAGTAAAAAATCCCCATTGGAACATCCTCAATTAAAGTTATTCAGCCTCTGTTTAAAAGACTTCCTAGGGCAGCCTACCCTAATTTTGGATGTTTCTAATTGTTAGGAAGTTTTACCTTATATCAATTTTAAATCTGCCTTAACTATTTTTATTTATTACTCCTAGTTCTGCTTTCTGGGGCCAAGGAAAACAAGTCTAGTGCCCGTTCCATATGATAGTCCTTCAAATGGCCCTTGAAGTCTCTATTATTTCTCACTCTTACTATATTACTGAGCCATCTTTTTATATTTTCTGGCTGATCCTTTTTATCTCAGTTTTTTTTAAAATGTAAACCAGCATTAACTATATGATGCCACCCTCTTAGACTCATGTATCTTTAATAATGTTTCTCTTACTGTAGGGAAAAATTGCATTGCTTTTTTAGCTGCCAATTTATGCTTTGAAATAATTGAGCTAATTAACTATTAAAATTCAGTAGCTTGGGCTTCTTTATAGATCTGCTTTCTGTCATAAGTACTAGTTGACACTTTGTTGTTGTTGTTTTAAATTAGAACACCTGTGTGTCAGAAACAGTTTTAAAATGACAGTAAGAGGAGTAAATCAAAGCATATTAATTCTCTTTGCAAATCTTTTATTTCCCCAGGACCCAATTGTAGATGCTGAAAAGTTTGTAATCTCTAAAAACTATGTATTCAAGATAAAAGGAGCTTAAGTAACACAGTGCTTTTATAAGCACTGGAGTTATAGTCAGACTATATAGGAAGTAAGCATAACTAGACCTACTGTGTTATTTTTTAGTCGTGCCAGACTCTTCATGACCCCATTTAGGATTTTCTTGGCAAAGAGACTGGTGTGGTTTGCTTCCATCTCCAGCTCATTTTACAGATGAGGAAACTAAGGCTCAGGGTCACACAACTAGTAATCTATAGGCATTTCATTTTCAGTTTTTTGCTACTATACAAAGTGCTGCTCTAAACAGCCTGATATGTATGGTACTTTTCTTTCAGTTATTAACCTCCTTGAGGTATATGTCCATAACAAGATTGATGGGTCAGAACATAGGTATAATTTAGTAACTTTTCTCAAATAATTCTAGATTGTTTTCTAGCTCCAACACTGATTATTTTTTATCCTTTGTGACCATTATCAATTTGAAGGTTGTGGGGGTAATACCTGAAAGTTCTTTTAATTTGTATTTTGCTTAAGAATAGATTATTTGTCTTCCTCCAAGTAATTTGAGTTCTTGGGTTTTCAAATAGTAGGCTAATTAATATATTTGCCTCTATTATTCAATCTGTTCCATTGATCTAATTTTCTGTTTAACTGATATGAAGTAGTTTTGGTGATTATTGTTCTTTATTTTGAGATCTAATGATGATAGACATGTCCCCTTTATTTCTATTTTTCCTATGATTGACCTTGAAATTCTTGACTTTTTTGGTCCTCCAGATGAATGTTGTTATTTGTCTAGTTCTGTAAAGGTTTCCTTTGGTAGCATTAAAATCCACAGTAATGACTTAGTTTTCATCCAGATCTTGCCTCATTGAGAATTGTCCATTGTGAGACCAGCAGTTGCTGTCAGCCTATGACCCTTTCCTATATATAGGGTCAGCATTTTGTTTGCTCCCTCACACTATGATATTTGCAGATCCTCTGGTGAGACTGTGAGTTCCTTGAGAACTGATAGTTTTTTTTGCCTTTCTTTGGTGTCCTCAGCACAGTGCCTGGCACATAGCATGCTCTTAAATGCTAACTATTCTCTTCTCTTATAGTGCTGATTTCAATAGAATTCCATTTTCCAGTCCAATCTCTGGTTTGAGGACCATACTTCCTTCTTGCCACTGATGGCCCCCACCTCTAACCCTATCAGTATTACTCCTTTTATTTTTAATATTACTAATAAATCTATTAGCCATTCTCTGCCTTTAGACCATAGTGCTTTAAAAGCAAGTGTCTAGTTTCTGAATATACACAGATTTATTTCATTTTCCTCAACAAAAGAAGATTTATTTAGCTGTGGCATGGAAAGGATATACTTCAAGAATACAGTTTGGTTTTTTTGTTTGTTTTTTGTTTTTTTTTAGCGAGGCAACTGGGGTTAAGTGACTTGCCCAGAGTCACGCAGCTAGTAAGTGTTATGTGTCTAAGGTCGAATTTGAACTCAGGTCCTCCTGACTCCAGGGCTATCACTGTATCCACTGCGCCATCTAGCTGCCCCAAGAATACAGTTTTTGTTTAGGTAGACAGCCTCTTTCAATATTCCAATGTAAAGTGATTACAGTTAGTACCTGGAATATCATGGCCACAGTGCAGATAAATACACTTCTGACATAGTCACCAATTCTCATTACAGGTCTTCAGTAAGGGTAGCTAAGAGCTTTTGTATGTAGCCTGACCCTTTGCCAGGAAGTATACTGAGACTTGCCTTGTACCACCCTCCTCTCACTGTTCTCCGCTCCATCACCCAAGACATCTCCTCTCTGGGAGTCCCCCTGGGGAACTGGCTTCATTTAGGAGACAAAGGATGGTCCCCATCTTGGGCCTCTAACTGATTTTACTGGTGCAAAATCCAGTCCTCTCTTAATGTTCCCCAGTCTGATATAACACCACTGAATTGGCTTCTTCAGACCACACTTTCAGCCACCATTGTTCCATTGGCCAGTCAGATTATTTAAACTTCTGCAGCTGTCCAAGTTCCTTGGTAGTAAAAGCTCATTCAACTCTCCAGTCCCTTTGTGGAGAAAATCATGTTGGTGAAAGTGGGATGGAAAGAAGTAGTGATGGTAGTAGTTGGCTAAGCCTGACGCTTTCTTATCACCAGTGAGGATTCCCAGTTCTAATACTCTCCTTCCTATTCTCTTCTCTTATAGTATTGATTTCAACAGGCTTCCATTTTCCAGTTCAATCTCTGGGTTGGAGACAATAATTCTTGCCTGTTATTGATGGCCCCCCTCCCCAACCCCTGTGAATATTACTCCTTTTATTCTTGCTATTATCAAATCCATTAACCATTCTGTGTCTTTAGGACACGGTGCTTAAAAAGCAAGAGCAATGTCTAGTTTCTGTGCAAAGATAGATTACTTTTGTTTTCCTTATTTGGACCTTCTAATTTTCTAGGGCCATTAATAATAACTATGGAATGCTCTCTCTCAGGATATTTTTATCCTCTATTAGCTACCTTTAGCATCTAGCAGGCTGGGTGAGAGAAGGTGGCTTTCCATAGTTATTAGGGCTTCCCTGCAACACTTGCAAGTTATTGTATTGGGCAATCCTTTCACTTGTGATGGCTCCCTCCTCATTTTATTACTTCACTTTGAGAACTACAAACCTCTTGTAATTGAATCCCACCAACTGTATGGCTAATTGTAGGCCAAACTTACTAATTGGAACAAATTGATTCAGTTTGAGGTTTACTTAGCCAAAGCATAGGAGGAATATTCAGCAAGGACACAGTGTTGATGTAGGTCTCTGTCTCTATAAAGAAAAAAATTAGTCTGGTCAGAAAGGCATGTTAACTTGAATAGCAGTGGAATATCCTGTAAATCTAATGGTCATTGACCCTGTGGGCAGGCCTTTGTGTGCTTCAGGAGACCAGGAAGCCACTTCAGCAGCATGAGCCCCAGTACATTGGACTAATCAAGGCTTATCCACAGCGTTTTTGTCTTTTAGGAAAAAACTAGCCCAGCCCATATGGCAGGGACCTTAGTAGATGTTATTCCTACCACAGTGGGCAAGTCATTTAACTCCTTAATGCTTCAGGTAATTTCCTCATACTTAACTGCTAATTTATAGATAGTAGAGAGAGTTTCCAGGATTTTCTATATTCTAAGTTGCTGATTCTGGCAATCACACACTGTGATTCACATCTATGCAACTAGAAGTTGAGAAAAGAGAAAGGAATGATCAGTCTCAGAGATGTCAGATGGCCTAATCAAAATAGTGAAAGAAGAGATACAAAACATAGTTAGAACTATTAGTGAAACACAGGGAGAATTGATGGCTTAGAAGAGATTGTGGAAAATCTTAACATAGCAGTAGGATAGCCTGAAAAGAAGAAAAGTGAATTTCAAGAAATCATAAAGAAGATTTCTCAGACACATTAGAATAAGAATTCAAAGTCTAAATTAATAAAATTACATCTATCATCACTAGAGAAAAGCCTTAGTCATAATACCCATGGATGGAATTATTCAGGTTTAAAGCTTTGTCAAAGAAAAAAATAGTATCATGGAATCTCAG